GTCTACTGCTACATTTAGTTTGCTACCAATTGTATGTTATTATAAATAGCACTGTAATGAATATCTCAATACAGAGTCATCTTGAGCCACAAGCGCGGGCTCTGTCAAGGCCACCCCTCCCTGACCCCACTTTACTTCTTTTGCACTGACTCTCCCCGTCATGGTACGTAAAGGCCCAGCCTCTCTTCAGTTCCCAGAGTAATAGCCTTTGAAGTAGTACTGAAGCAGTTTTCAGTTTTCATGTAACAGCTAGGCCCACTTCAGTCTCCTTCCCTGGTTTCTTTTCTAGGAAACATTCTTGTCCATTTCGCCTTGTGGGAGAATGGGAGCCCTGCCTTGTTCTTGCCAGCTGGGACTGGAACTGTGCCCTTGAGCTTTGCTGAGTCACTTCTCTGTGTATTTGGAGAAGGGAATTGCAGGAGGCTTTATTTTCGTCTCTTATAGCCAGAGGAGCTGGTTAGATCCACTTTGGCAGCCAGCACAGGGTTTTTTTTTTGCTTTTTGTACGGGGAAAGAGCTTCCTAGGCCTCCAAAGGAGAGGGGGTTTAATTACCAACATAACCACAACAGTCTCAGACTCTGTTTTGTGGCTTCTCTTTCACTATATGATTTGCATGAATTTATTGGAAAACACAAAGACTTCCAGGAACTGCTAGTAAGCCAGGCTCATTTATGTTTCCTAGTAGTTACTGGACTCTGCTTCCTTGTTCAGCTAAAATTAGTCTGTCGAACTCTTGTTAAGACAAGCACTGGAAAAATGAGATTTTTATTGTGTGGAAACCTTAGGACAATGTGCCAAATCTATAGAAAGGCAAAATAAAGAGATGTAGAAAAATCCTTCCACACTGAACTACTCATTCAGAACTTTCCAAAGAGTTAAAAATAACTATGCAAATCAGGAATCCAGACAGTTTTATTTAATTAAAGAATGTGAAAACAATTTCATGTGTCTTGAGAAATGGTTTGCTAATCACCATTTCTGGGTAAATGAAGAAAAAGTGATGAAAGAAGGTTAAGATGCATAGGCATCATTCAAGTTCTCCAAGACCACACATTTACATACTGGCCACAGGAAGAAAGCTTATGGTATAAGTGGAATCATTCATTTATTCAACAAGCCATGTACTGAGAAACTACTATGTATCACGGGTTATGGTAGAGGTTGGGGTTATAGGGAGGAAATATATGGGGTGGGGGGCTTATGGCAGAGTTTAAATTCGTGTGCATGTTAAGATATCATGGGATAGCCCTGGCCAGTTTGGCTCAGCGGTTAGAGCGTCAGCCTGCGGTCCTGAAAGACCCGGGTTCGGTTCCCGCTAGGGGCGCGTACCTTGGTTGCAGTTTGTCCCCGGCCCTGGTCGGTTGTGCGGGTGGCAGCCACTCGATGTGTCCCTTTCACATCGATGTTTCTCTCTCTCTCTCTGTTCCTCTCTCTCCCTCCCACTCTACCTGAACAAAAAATGGAAAAATGTCCTCTGGTGAGGATAAAAAAAAAGGTATCATGGGACAATGTGCAATGTAATAAAAGTATCCAAGAAAATCTGGGCACATCAGGATGGCTCCAGAGCCTAAGGTATCTTTGAACTGAGGTTTGAGTATGAATAAGAGTTTGCTAAAGGACAAGGTAAGGGGTGTCGAGAAGTGAGGAAGCATGGGAGAGGCAGGCCTAGCACGAAGGTGTGCATGCTAAGAAAGCACTGTGCATTTGAGCCCCAGCTTAAATAGGAAAACAGAGATGCAGAGGAGACACAGATGGGGGTACTGGGCACTCCTACCTGTTTTTGTTACAGCAATGGATGTCATGTGGGTAAAACAGGGCTGGAGGATGGGGCTGAGCAGGAGATCAGACAACAAACAACTTTGAGATCTTGTGATGCCAATAGGTCGCTGGGCCTATTTCATCATAGCCAGGCCTCTCCTGAATCCCCACCATTTCCAGTCAGAGTACTTAGGAACAGTGTATCTGGCCCTCTTCCCATGCACCCTCCACAGTGAGGCCCACACGAACACTACAGTGCTTACAAAAGGATTAAAAGCATTATTATTTTTTCAAAAAACTCTATTCTGTTTTGAATTTATCAAACCAAATATCAAAATGTAAACAGATTTATTTCTAACTTAGTATTCACTTATATGGATAGAAACTGAGTAGAGAGAGAAGAAGGTTTTATTAGAAGGATGTTTTATTATATATTTAAATATAGGTAAATTTAAAAAGTAATAAAGGCTTCCTTTTAAAAAACAAAACTGTTCAGAATTCTGTAAAATTAAAAAATGAAAATGTTCCTCTTCCCAGCCCAATGAAGCAGCAGCCACTTTAAGGGGTCTGGTAGGTATTCTTTTAGAAATTATGCATTCAAAAATGTGTGGGTGCTGTTTGTTTTCTTTTACTTTGAGATATAAATAATTCTATGGATTCTTCCTAATATATTAAGAAGCACAAAAGCAACGAGTACTAACTAAATCCATAGGTTGTATTTTCCAATCACACACAATGCCCCAGCATCCCAGGACAGTCTCCAGTCGCTCTCACAGGCCTGCCCCTCAGCACATGCGCAGTGAGAGGCTTTCCACAAACGCCGCGCTGGAGCTTGTCATGCACATGCTGACAACCGCTGTTCAGCTCCTGTGTCTGGAACTGTTCTTCTCTTTCTCCAGTTTCTATTACAGTACCTTTCCCACTCCAGGCATTTAATATGTATCTGTTAATTACATGCATTTTAATATCATGACTTATTAAATAACAGAACCCATAGATATTAAGGAGCTGAGTAGAATTATGGAAAGTATCCATTTAGGTATCTAATAACTGAAATTATGCCTTCCTTTCTTGAGAAGTGAATTTTTTTTTTCTCTTTAAGGGATTAGATAAGGTGTTTACTTGGGTAAGCTCCTCTGGCTAAAGGTTTCCCTGAACCCAGCAATAAGGTTCAGAACAGAAGAAAAAACTGACCATACACAATGTCAATTAAATGTGCTCTTAAACACACATCAGCCTTTCAAACGCAGTAACAAAGTGGTGACCTACTTTCCTGCAGAAAGCCAGGAATCAAGTGTCTTCCTTTCTGTTTTTGAGTTCTAGCACTGCCTTTTATTAAATGCATGACCTCAGAGGATCCTCTTAATCTGAGCTTTAGTTTCTTCGAATGAAACAAAAAAAAAGGATAATAAAACCTATCTTGCAAGTCAGTGGAAGAATGATATGAGATGACCTTTGTGAAAGTGCATGTCAGACATGGAGTAGGCATCAAATATAGTGGTTGAGGCACAGGCTCTGGAGCCAACTTGCTTCAACTCAAATGCTAGCTCTGCCTCCTACACCGATGACATTGGGCAAGTTACTCAATCTCACACACTAGCCCTTGGTTTCTCATCTAAACATCATAAGAGTAATTGGATTATTTTATGGATTAAGATCATGTATTGTGTGTGATTTTGGGTAGTGACAATAATGGTTTACTACATACTTACTGTTATGAGTGTAGGCCCACTATAAAATTTTCCTTTCTCTTCTTACCCTTTATTCTTCTCTTTGACTCATCTAAATCACCTACAGTAAAATTTTAAAGCTCTCTTTTTTTCTGGATCATGAAGTGAGAGGCTGAAAGACTAAAGATTGAATGTTGCTGGGGACTGAATTGCATCCTCCCAAAATCATATAGGACTGGTGGCCTAATAAGAGAAAGAGAGAAATTTCTCTCCTTTCTCTCCCTCCATATGACTTCACAGTAAGAAGACCGAAATCTGCAAGCTAAGAAGCAAATCCTCTCCAGAAATCCACCTAGCTGGACCATGATCTGGTTATTTTAGCCTCCAGTACTGAGATAATAAATTGCTGTTGTTTAAGCCACCAAGTCTATGGTATTTTGCTATGGTAGCTGAGCTGACTAAGATACATTGTATCTGTGCATCTTCAAACTAGCTTCCTTATTTTTAACAAGTGGCATTTCAACAAGTAGAGGATGTTACTGAAGCTGCATTATCTTCAGCATGTATAAAACATAATAAATTAAGGCATGATGAGAGTAAAGATCTTGATAACCAAGCTGAGATCTTTGGTTTGACTACAGTTCTCACAACTCAGATCTGGCCCCTCAAAAAAACACCTTGCACTGCTGGGCCAAAGCAAACACTGCACAGGGAAGAGTCTGTGTGCAAATCAGGTGCCCTGTGCAGAGAAACCCATTCATATTATTGTTAATATATTTTTGTTATTGTTGTTGTTAATCCTCCTCTGAGGATATTTTTTCCTTGATTTTCAGAGTGGAAAGGAGGGAGAGAGAGAGAGAGAAACATGGATGTGAGAGAGACACATCAATTGGCTGCCTCCAGCACGTACTCCGACTGGGGCTGGGGATCAAACATGCAACCCAGGTATGCGCCCTTGACTGGGAATCGAACCTGAGACCCTTTGGTGCATGGGCTGATGCTCTAATCACTGAGCCAAACCAGCCAGGGCTATTGTTAATATTAACAGTGAGTAAATAAATCACAACATATACCCACAGAGTAAAAGGGAAATATGCCATCTTTGAAAACAAGTGAGCAAATTATTTATTTCACAAATTGACTCAAAACCATGTATCTTCCAAAGGTTACAGAGGAATAAATTTAGGAACAGAGGTTAAGTAACTTGCCTGCATGACACAGTTAATAACCTGACAAAAGCTGGGGTTTCAGTCTCGGCAGTCTGGCTCTAGATTTGTACTTTTAAAAGTATTTGAAAACCCACTGACATAGACAGAGAAGAAATTCCCCCATGATGATCCCAATAATTTACACTGAACCAAGTAAAACTCAGACTAAACTGAAACTTTCCCCTTATCTGTTTGAGGGCACTGAAATGAACAGGAGCTCCCCCCATCCAATTTAATACAATGAATATCACTTCCCAACACTCTTTAACATAATAAAGAATATTTTTCAAAGTGACAGCCAACATCCTTAATGGTAAAACACTAGATGTGTTCTCAAACAAATCATTAGTACAGATGAATTACCTGTTGTCAATAATCATTACATTGGAGGGTGGGATCCCCAAAACATCACAGCTCCGCAAAAGTTCTTTCTTACGAATCTCCCCTTGATTGTAGTAATTTCCTGAGGATAACAAATACACAACAGAAGATTTAACAGTAGGGACTTATGAATTTACTCATTCTTATCTCATCTTGTTCCCCAAAGGATTTCAGCTACCTGAAAAAATTGTGGTTATGATAAAAAGTTGAAGAAAATACAACACTTAAGATTACAATCAGTCCTGTGAGAAGACTATCAGCAGTATAATCTTTGGAATCACCATGTAATTCTTCCCCATCTCTGTATCTATCTCTCTGTCCATCCGGCTGCCTACCTACCTGCCTGTCTGCATTTCAGTTCTGTGCTGCAGGCAGTACAGTGCATCTCACACAGCAATGGCTTTGGTGTTAAGCAGGTTTAGGATTAATCCTTTTATAACCACTAAGAACAAGTGGGATACCTGAGCACACTATTAGTTTGAGCCCATTTAAATGAATAGTCCTCAAATATCTGTTAAACGTTTATTTAAAGAAGAGGCTCCTGAGTATAACAGGAAAATGTGCAGGCCTCATTCAGGAAAATACCCTCTTTTGAATAGTTTCGCAACCAGCATGTCAGCATACCCTTATGGGACCTTGACATCAGCATCCCAAAAAGCTTACGTGTTCATTTTCCCAATACATATACTGTACTTCCTAAGAATAGTTCTGGTAAGTGCAACTCCTCTGTATCCTTACGAATAATATACAGTGAAATTTTTGTATCACTTAATGGCACTTATCTGGCTAACAGCCCCGAGTTAATCTCTGCACATGTGATTTGTGCTAGTTACTTAACCTTCTTGAGCCACCCTTTCTCCACATGTAAAGTGGGGATAATGACCATCTCATAAGGCTTTCCTGACAATCACACAAGATAATACATATCCACCCAGTTGGGTACTCAGTGTTACTTTTCTCTTTCCTTGACCGATCTATCTATCTATCTATCTATCTATCTATCTAATTTTTTTTTTCTTAATTGATTTTAGAAAGACAGGAAGAGGAAGACAGGGAGAGAAACATCCATGAAAGAGAATATAGATCAGCCACCTCCCACACTCCCCCTACTGGGGATTGAGCCTGCAACCTGGCACCTACCCTGACTGGGAATCAATGAGCAACCTCTTGGTACATGGGTCATGCTCAACCACTGAGCCACATGGGTGGGCTGACTTCTTTATCTTTACCTTTCCATTCCTTCTCAACCTCTCTTCCTGAACTATAATCCATCTTCATGGTCCAGATCACATGACCTTCCCCTGGGGAAGCCTTATCCTATTTTCCCTGGCAAGTAACCATTTCCAGTATTCTGCTCTTAAGTATGAACTCTTTTCTCCATGATCAAATTATTAATTTTTAAATGCCACTGACCTAAAAGGTCATGGTCTCATTCAGGCTTGTATCATCCTGGTGTCCAGAACACTGCAGGCTCTCATGAAGCACTGAACAGAGAGGCTCTGCTTACTGTTCCACAGGCACTTTTCACCTTTGGTAGGGATCGTTTTAGTGCTAGTTCTGAGCCGTTTAAACCCGGATTGGAGACAGTCATTACATTGTATCTAACAAAGGAACTAAGCTTAAAAATACTCCAGATAGCTTAATTTTATATTGTCCTCATCACAATTTTCTGCATTAATATATATTTTTAATGTATACATGCTTCTGTTTCTATTTTGTTCTTCAGTTGCATTAACATTTTTTTTAAAGATAGAAACTAGTCAGTTTTGTGGTGGTCATTACTATTTTAGGTTCCTCTCAAATTCATGCACATACCCTCTCCCATTTGTAAGTTATCTTATACTAGTGCTGTGAGTTCTAAGTTCAGATGCAGTGCAAATCAGACTCTGATTATAGTTGTGAGAAACTGCTTAGAACTGAAGCGAATGTTTATGGAGCCAGTTTTATTGCTTTGTGTTTACATTATGAAATGTAAAACAGATTAGGGAGTTGAAGTCACAGATCACTTTAAATATTTTCACTAAGTTCGGTGAACATGTGGGCACTTCAATAGATTAAGTGTGTGAGATCCTTCAGCAGTTCTTAACTGTAACACCCCAGAATAGCGTTCATGTAGGGTGGCTGTACCCCAGGAAGCACAACTAAACTACTGGGGTGAAGAAAAAGCTTTAAATTTTCTCCTCTTGTTTCCCCCTCCTTTTTTTTTTTAATAAGTGCAACTTTTGTTAATGTTTTATAATGTACAATTAGTTTAGTGGTCCATGTACTTATTATAATTATAAATAACTATACAGGACATATAACGGGGATATATGTACATATAGGAAAATATGACCAAAAATTCTAGAAAATCAAGTAAATGGGATTAATGTAGGTTTATTTATATAGAATTACATTTTTTGTGTGTATGAGCTTGTGAATAATTGTATGCTTAGTGACGTCTTCTGTTTTGTGATAACTAATAATTAGCAAGCATAATGACATTTAAAACAAATTAAAGACACTTTGTAAAGACCTACATTCATATACCACATGCAGTGTTGGGAATGTAGACTAGTTCAGCCTCTATGGAAAACTACCTCAATAAATAAAAAATGCAACTGTCTTATGACCCAGTGATTCCACGTCTGGGAATTTACCCGAGAAAACCTGAAACACTAATTTGAAAGAATATACGCACCCCTATGTTCATTGCAGCATTATTTACAATAGCCGAGATCCAAGTGCCCATTAGCAGATGAGTGGGTAAAAAATAGTGGCACATTTACACAATGGAATACTACGTGGCCATAAAAAAGAAGGAAATCTTACCTTTGCAATAGCATGGATGGACCTGGAGAGCAATACACTTAGTGAAATAAGCCAGTCACAGAAAGACAAGTACCATATGATTTTACTCATATGTGGAATCTAATGAACAAAATGAACTAACAAGCAAAACAGAGAGACTCAGAGAGAGCACGTTGATACCTGCTGGGGATGTGGTGGGGGTTGGGGGTATAGGTGGGGGTGGTGGAGGGTTTGAGCATAAAAGAAAAAAAGAGAAAAAACTGCCCTGGCTGGTTTGGCTCAGTGGTCAGAGCATGGGCCCACGAACTGAAGGCTTACAGGTTCAATTTTTGTTAAGGGCACATACCTTGGTTGTGATTTGGTTCCAGACTCTGGTTGGGGTCGTGTGGGAGGCAACCAGTCGGTGTGGCTCTCTCATATTGATCTTTCTCTCTCTCTTCTTCCCACTCTATCTGAAGATAAATGGAAAAATCATATCCTCAGGTGAGGATTTAAATAATAAAAAGAGAAAAAACTCATGGATATGGACAACAGTGTGGTGATTGTGGGGGGAGAGGGAGAGGGATGGGGGAAGAAGGAGGGTAAGGGGGTATAGATGGTGATGGAAGGAGACTTGACTTAGGGTGGTGAACATGCAATACAGTGTACAGATGATGTGTTGTGTAACTGTGCACCTGAAACCTGTATAATTTTTTAACCAGTATCACCCCAATAAAGTCAATAAAAAGAAAAAACAAAACAAAACAGAGATTCTCATTACCAGTCAGTGAGAATACAAGTTGGTATATTTTAGGGAATGCAATTTGCATGAAAAGCCTTAAAACTAAAGCCAAATTTAGAAATCAGTCCTAATGAAATACTACGGACTATATACAGATGTTTGCTGCTATTTGTAATAGAGGTAAACTGAAAAAAAAAATCCCTAAATATACATACAATAAGGGATGACTAAATTAGGGTTTATCTCAATGAAACCATTTAAAAGACTATATATCAGTTCTTATTAATATGGGTAAATGTTTAAATTATGTTTCACAAGGACATGATCCTTATTTAGCTGGTTTTCACTATTCATTCCTAGGGCATAGAATAAGGCCTAGCATATAATTTTTTTTAATTAAAACTTTTTAAAATTAAAACTTTATTTTTTTAAAGGCAGTGTTAGGTTCACAGCAAAATTGAGGGGAAGGTACAGATTTTTCCCATTTACCCTGTCCCCACATATACATGGCCTTTCCCATTATTAAGATTTCTCACCAGAATGGTACATTTGTTACAACTGATGAACTTACATCATTATCATCCAAAGCCCATAGTTTACATTAAGATTTACTCCTGGTCTACATTGTATGGGTTTGGAAAATGTATAATGACATATATCCATCATTAAAATATACAGCGTTTTTACTGTTCTAAAAAATTATCTGAGCTCCACCCATTTATTCATCCTTCCTCCCATCTCAACCCCTGGAAAACAATGATCCTTTTACTGATTTCACAGTTTTGCAGTTCCCAGAACATCATGTAGTTAGAATCACAAAGTATGTAGCCTTTTTAGATTGGCTTCTTTCACTTAGTAATATGCATTTAGGGTTCCCTTTTCATGGCCTGACAGCTCATTTATTTTCAGCACTAATATCCCATTGCCTCGATGTTTTAATTTATTTATCCATTCACCTACTGAAGAACATCTTAATTGCTTCCAAGTTTTGGTAATTATGAATAAGCTGCTATAAACACCTGTGTGCAGGTTTTTCTGTGGACATGTTTTCAACTCATTTGGGTAAATAAATATTAAGTAGAGTAAGTAACTGCTGGATGGTTTGGTAAGAGTATGTTTAGTTTTCTAAGAAACTGCCAAACTAACTGCCTTCCAAAGTGCCTGAACCATCTTGCGTTCCTACCCTTAATAAATTACAGTTTCTGTTGCTCCATATCCTCTGGTGTTGTCAGTGTTCCAGATTTGGGTCATTTTGAGTGTGTAGTACACAAAAATTTTTAATAAATATCTGCTAAATGAATGAAAAAATAATGTTCAGTGAAAAATATAAAATTGTATGAAATGTTATTTCTGTGAAAAATCTGTATAGAAAAAGAACTGGAATGACACAACGAAACGGGAAAAAGAAGTCATGGGTATTTGTTAAAAACAGCTTTATTGAAGTAAAATTTTACATACCATAAAAATTCACCCATTGTATTTGTACAGTTCAACTACTTCATTTATACACTTGTGCAATTATCAGCATAAACCAATATCATGGTCAATTTTTGTTTTCTCATTCCATTTTTTCTGTATGGTAAAGAATCTATTCTTTGAAAGACCCCTTAACTGAATGTTGGGTGGTGCTGAACTATAAAATTACCTATAAAAATATTTTCTAGTTTAATAATCTGATCCTCTTCAATTTGAAAAATGTAAAAGCAGCAGGAAGGTCCTTTGCTACCACTAGAAGTAAAACTTTCAGGGTTGAGCAGGCATGGTACAATCTAGATTGTTTGGTGTACTATGATAAGATCTTCTTGATCCTTCTGCAAGTCGAAAGGGTCCACGGAATAATGAATACAGTCGCATTTCCCAAAGAAAATGCAGGTATTCAATGGAATCAAACGTGAACACTTGTCTTGTACTTAATGCTACTAGCAGAGTAGAGTACAAAAGCTGAGGACGTCCCCCAACCAACCCGGGAAGCTGGCTGCTACAGTCCCTAGGCTGGAGCCACAGATTCTGTGATGCGCCCAGAGAAGGGACCTTGTATTATTCACGTAGCTCTCTACAACAGACACTCCTTGGAGAAAAAGTGGACTGAGATAGGTGAGCACTTAAATATCGTTCACAGCCCCGGCTCCCAACGCCCCGCCTGCAGCCTCCTACCTGCAGAGAAGCAGAGCAGGAACACAAGGTGCCTCAGGCGGCCCAAGCCTAGCAAAGTGGGAGCAAAGAACATGGCTTCATCGTCGGGGTGCGCGATCACTAGGAGGGTCCGGCTTCCTCTTCCCAACAGGCCAGGCTGCACCTGACTCTTCATTCGTTCGGAAACGTGCCAAACCCAGAAGACGCACGGTACTAGGACCACCACCGCCAAACACAGAATAACCACCACGTCCATGCTGTGTCAGTGGCACTGCGCCTGCGCAATAGGGAAAGGTGCAGCTGACCCAGACTCCGGCGGGAAAATTGCACTCTGCAGAAACTGCGTTCCGAGTTGAGGAATGTCCTGCCAACTCGCTCCAATCGCAGGAGGCTCTAAATGACCCCAGGATACCCCCCTCCCCCATTGATCTTTTAGATAGAGTGGGAGGGAGGGATGAGGAAAAAGACATCGATGTCAGAGACGTGTAGATTGGTTGCCTCCCGCACTAGCCCGACAGACAGGGACTGGGGATCGAACCTGTAAAGCCAGGTAGGGCCCTTCACTAGGCATCGGACCGCGCCCTTTCGGTGGAGGGCCCACGCTCTAATCGCTGGGCCAACCCGGCCAGGTCCCTCCCAACACTGCAGGAGTTCTCTCTACCTTATGTAGCGCTCAGTGGTTCTCAACCTTCCTGACGCGTGACGCTTTAATACAGTTCTTCATGTCGTGGTGACCTCCCAACCATAAAATCACTTTTGTTGCTACTTCATAACTAAGTTTGCTGTTACGAATCACCATCATATGTGTTTTCCGACGGTCCTAGGCGACCCCTGTGAAAGGGTGGTTGGCCCCCCAGGTTGAGAACCGCTGGTTTGGGAGGTCTAGGCCTGCTCGTTGGGAGCTGAACAAACCCCTTCCCGTCATTTCCTACCCTCGTCCTCGCACCGTCCAGTCATCTCACTGAGTGAGGCTGAGCGCGCACTTCGCCGTCGCCAGGGCCACAGGCTCCCGGGGAGGGACTTTAGACAAGGACTGACATTACGGACAAATCGGCATCGCTCGCACTCGAGTGAAGTCTTGGTGCGAACTGCCGCGGGGCCCGGGGAAGTCTCTTGGGTGGGTGGACGTGCACCCACCCCTCCAGCTCCCAGCGTGCGGGGATCGGCTCCCCTTCCCGCAGCCCGGGCTCCAAGAGGCCCGGCGACCCGCCGCGCCACGGAGGGGTCGCCGGGCCCGAGGCTCCGTCTTGCGTGCTTCCCTTTCCCACGCTCGGGGAAGGCCCCTGGCGCGGTGGGCGCCCCGGCCCGTGCGCGATGGCAGCGCGCTGGTCCGGGCGGGCACGGTGCTTCCCCGGCCTGTGTCAGGTGGAGGGGACCGCCGCCAGGCCGAGTGGAGACGTGAGGGCGCCAGGCGCCGGGCGACCCAGGAAGCTCCGCCGAGGTAGGAGCGGCGCTCCGCCAGCGGAGGGAGTCGGTCCTCCAACCTTCCGGAAGGAGGAGGAGCCGGCGCCGGAGCCGCCTTAGCCGCGGCCGCCGGGGCTGGGGGGAGGGAGAGGGGTTGAGTCAAGATGGCGGCCAAGGTGGCGAAGCAGCAGCAGCCGCGGCGGCGCCGGTGGTTGGAGTGAGCGCCCAGCTCGCCGCGCTGACCGAGGCCCCGACGTAGGGACCCGCGCCGGGGCCGCGTCCCGCTCCTCAGGCCCGGGGGCGCGCCGGCTACCACGCTGCGCCAGCTCCGGGTAAGTAGGCCCCGGCCTCCGGGCCCCGCTCGTTCCGGGGGCTGCCGAGGGCTCCCTGGGCACTGGCCGCGGGGGCGGCTTCACTGGGCCGAGGGGCATCACGGGCCTGGCAGGTTGGGACCCGCCCAGCCGCCGGCCTCTTCTCCCCCGCCGCCCGGGGCGAGCCGGGCGCGGCGGGGAGCTCGGGCTGGGCGAGTGGAAGAGGCTTGTGGAGTTTGGAGGAAGAATGGGCTGCGGCCAGGCCCGGCCGGCAGGAGGTGTGCTTGGGGAGGGGGCGTGCGGAGACCGAGCGGCCCAGGGGCCCGGGGGGCGGCGCAGGTGGCCCTGGCTCCCTCTGAGGCGGAGGTGGTGGCCATCTGGGAGTGTAGACGGGGTCAGGGAGGGTGACAGCGATGGACAAGAGCGTGAAGAGCAAAGTAGTTATCCTTTCTGACCCAGTCACTCCGGATTGTAATGGCGAAGGGTGGGTAGTGTGGAGATGGCAAAGATGGGAATTCTGGACCTCCTGCCTTTTGTATTGGGGTTAATATGTGAAGCTGGTGTATTATCTTTTTTGGGGGGAAGAGGGATTTGAGAAACTGTAATTGAGACAACAGTCTTAATGCAGAGGAAACAGAATTTGAATTATTTGAATTAACTGGACTAGGTATAGTCCTGTGTTAAAGGTGTGGGCAGGAATAAGTGATGTTTCTGATACATCACTTGAAACATCAGTGTCAGTTTTTTTTTTTTAATTTTTTTTATCGATGTTGTATGCTACAGTGCTGCTTCAACAGAGTTGGAGAGTAGTATGGTATGGGTAATGCTACCTTGGGGATTAGTATACACCTGCATCAGATTTGCTTCCCTAATCATCCAAAATATATTGAAATGTACATTCCTTGTGTGCAACTTGGTGAGGTAATGATGGGAGGCGGAACAATGTGCGAAGAGCAACAGGTCTGGGATTTTAAATGTCAACAAAATATTCATTCATTCGTTCAGCATATCTTGATCAATAGCTGTTGCTGATGGTCACATATGATTGGCCCTTGGATAACTGAAGAATTGATGGCATTAGTTAATTCTTAGTGGTTTTTTGAAAATGTGTTCTTGTACCTTTTCATAAAGATATTTATTAGATGAACCAATTTGCCTGGGCTCAGGAGCAGACCAGTTTTAGAATCTTATGCCTGAATTAGTAAAAATTACAGAAGAAATAACCACAATATTTCTGTTGGAAAAAGAAATATTGTCTTTATTGTCTTATTTTGTTAAAACCCAGTGGAAGTTTACTTATTTATTTTGATATTTATTGTACACAGTTGCCTTGCTTAAGCACACCTGTTACTGGAAATCAAGGTTAAAACACGTAAATATAAATACTATATACATGCATATATAAGGGAGTGATTACTTGCAATACTAAAATAAAATAATCTTTCCTTTTACAAAAGGCTTGCTATGTGTTGAACTACTCCCATGGAGAAAATATAATACAAAGAGTCCTGATGTCTCTGTTAATGGACATTGTGACATTTTGGAGTGTGATCAACCTTTCTGTGCTTCAGTTTCCTCACCTGTGATAGTAGAAAAACATCTGCTCTCCTAGGGTTGGCTCTTGTGAGCCTAAGAAAGTTAATGGCTATGAAATTATTTCAATCAGATTGAAAGGGTTATATGTCTGTAAGGTAGTAACAGCTCCCTCTGCACTTGTGAAATGCTTTATTTGCACATTTCATGGCATTTACACTTTCTACCTCTGTTTAGGTTTTTATCTAACTATTTTATCTCCTCTTGAGGGCAGGATAGACCCTTCTCTGATTTTATTTTTAAGCTTAAGGCACTGTGTAGGATTTTGTTTCTGTGGGATATTGATATTACAATATTTGTTGAATGAATAAACATTGCATTCTAATTAGAAAAATGTATTCATACTACAGCATATCCAAATGCACTTGTTATCTTTGGTGTAACATATCTTTATAGCTGTGATTCTCTCCATGCCTGAGAAATATATATTTTTAACTGGATGTCATGTTGAATTAATTATATAGTAAAGCTTAAGTGTTTGGCCTGCCTACATAATTTTTTTAAGGCACAAAATGTTTGAAATTAACTTATGTTTGTTTGAATTAAATTGATTAAAAGTTTGTTCCAAGGCTAGGCAAATGTAGATTAATTAGGTTTTTTTTTTTTAAAGCTTTTTCTTTTTAAATGTTTCTATTTATTTTTTTAGAGAGAGAGAAACATCAATGGATTGCCTCTCTCAAGTGCCCCAAGCAAGAGACTGAACCCACAACCTGGGTATGACCTGAGCAGTATTTGAACCCATGACCTTTTGTTGCACTGGACAATGGTCAACCAACTGAGTCACAACAGTTACAGTGTTTTTTTGTAAAAGCATTTTAAACAAATTGATGAAGGGTGAGATTTTCTTGCTATTGTTATCTGCAATTGAAGCAAAGGGCTTTGAATAGGTCAGGGATTGATGTAGGTCAGTGATTTTCAACCTTTTTCATCTCATGGCACAAACAAACTAATTACTAACATTCTGGAGCACACCAAAAATATGTTTTTGGCAGTCTGACAAAAAAATAGGTATACTTTTGATTCATTCACACTGGACGGCCATTGTTGTGTTCGCTGTTGTCATTTTTAAAATGTTTTTATTTGACAATTGAAGGGAAAAGAGGTCAGTGCCCCTGACTAAATAGTCATGTATTACGTGTTTAAAAAATTATGTGGCACACTGGTTAAAAATCGCTAATGTAGGTAAACATCAAGCTATTTGTTGCTTGTTTTTTTTGTGTTTGTTTTGTTCAGTTTTAATTGTGTTTTGTGATGTCTTAATTGCAATTTCAGACTCTTACTGATGCCTGGGAATAACAGAGATTTCCCATTCTTACTTTCATCTATTCTTTTTTTTTAAGATTTTAAAATTGATTTTTATAGAGAAAAAGAGAAAAATCAATGTGAGAGTGAAATATCAATTGGCTGCCTCCTTCACGCCCCCTACCTGGGAATAGAACTGGACGATGCCCAACCAACTGAGCCATACCAGCCAGGGACCATCTATGCTTTTACTTCAGATTTGGGTTTTACTAGGATGTGGTACATACTTTATTGTGTGGACTTATTTGTTGATTAGAGATTCGTATATAGTTCATTGCCTTGTGTGACTGGTGTTAAGTGCCTTTTATGTTCAGGGCACTATACTAAATGCTATAAAGGTATAATGTTGAACAGATTAATATGGGCAAATAACTCAGTTTATAGATTGATATTTTGTTCTTTTCAAGTGTGAGGGTGCAAAAAGTGCATTTAGATAAATGGTTAAGAAAGCATTTTGTTTGTTTTCTTTTCTATCCAAACTTATTAGAAGTATTGGACAGCTATGAAAAGCTTCTGCTATGTAGCAATAACTATGTAGAGCATCTGTTTTTTATTTTGGTATTCTTGTGGTAGTGGTTTTCCTTGAACATTTTTACTACCATGTTTTTCTACCCCTGGAGCTAGTGTGGTCAAAATATTATATTACTTGGATAGTCTTCGGATACAACATACAAGTCCTCTTTGCATTTGAAGGTGAGGCTATACAAAGCCATGTAAATGTTTCTGTGGAGCTCTTCAGTTTAATTCTTCCATATTTACTGTTACTGCTTTTACTTAAATATGGTCTCAAAAACAAATTTTGATTGTTTAAAACAAAATGCTAGTAATTTATAGAATTATAGAATGTATAGTTATATAGATTTTCTACAGAATGTCCTCAATGGTGTTATGTCCTGCTAAACCCATCCTAAGTTGAAAATATTTTAAGTGAAAATGCACTGAGTAGACCTAACTAACTGAAGGAACATCATAGCCTAGACCACCTTAAACATGCTAAGAACACTTACACTAGCCTACATACAGTTGGGCTACTGTATTTCTTCTTTTTAAAAGAATTTCTATTGATTGGTTGATTTTAGAGAGAAAGAGAAAGAGCAACATCAATTTGTTGTTCCACTCATTCATACATTCATTGGTTGATTCTTATATATGCCCTGACCCAAGATAAAACCTACAACCTTGGCACATTTGAAGACGCTCTAACCAACTGAGCTACCTGACCAGAGCTGGGCTAATGTAATTTTATCTCAAGAGTAATTGTTTTCCTTTTCTCACCAGAAGAAAGAAACACAGATGGGGGTATTGTAGACATGCTGGGATGGGAAAACACACACACAAAAAAACACAATATCCAAATAATGCTGGCAACACAGTACACTGTATATTATCTGCTGTTAACCCTCTTGATTGCCTGTCTGACTCAGAGCCTTGCTCACTGCTGCTGCCCAGCATCATAAGAGAGTATTGTACTGTATATCACTAGCACAGGAAAAGATAAAAATTTGATGGTTTCTACTGAATGCCTGTCACTTTAACAACATGGTAAAGTTGAAAAAAGTCATAAGTAGAACAAATGTAAATTGGGGGTTGTCTGTAGTCTTAACTTGTTTTATTGTTTTCCGAGGATCGCAGAAATTAAGCAATCTGCCTAAATTGTAATGATGCACTAGCAGAATCCCATTTCTTGACATCTAGTGTAGCTCACATTTCATTACTCCATATCATCTATGGCAGCAATTTTGAACCAGTGTGCCACAAGAATTTTTAAAACATGCAGTACCTGACTGTTTAGTCAGGGGCAGTGACCTTTTTTCCCTTAGAATGTCAAATAAAAAGGTGGCTACATCAAACTCAAAAGCTTCTGCACAGCGAAAGATACAATCATCAAAACGGAAAGGCTACCCACTGTATGGGAGAGCATAATTGCCAGTGATATATCAGATAAGGGGTTAATTTCCAATACATATAGAGTGCTCATACAACTCCACAAAAGGAAGACAAAGAATCCAATTAAAACATGGGCAGAGGAACTAAATAGACACCTCTCCAAACAGGACATACAAATGGCTAAGAAACATATGAAGAAATGCTCATCATCACTAATCATCAGACAGATGCAAATCAAA